CGCCACTCATAAGCGTGATGCAACCATAGAGGTAACTCTAAGACCACTGGGTCCCGAAGAAAATCATTATTATTTTTGGCTCACTCAGTACCAGAACAACGGTCCCAAGCAGTCCCAAGCTATTTCACTCACCCCTGCATGTTCTGCATGAATCCATACACCCCTGATGTTATCTGTCAAACTTTCATAGCGAATCAAAACAAACATAGTGTAGTAATAGAATTTCAACTAGAATAGGGTACGTTAATCGTTTGCTTGGGACCAATAGGCTACTAAAGTGGTGAGCCAATTTAAAATCGTTAGTTTCGTATTGATTGTTGATGCAACCCCGCCCATAAGGATTATACACAGGTGCGTAACTTTGATCTCGACTTTGATAGTATTTTATGGCAGCGGCTTGAGGAGCGAATCCTGGATAAATAGCCGCCGTGTGTTAAATCAATGGGCGCAGTCGTACGGCCATAAACAGAAAGCACTTGGTATAATCCCTTTCTGAGAAATTATCCTGCCACACACAATATTAATTTTTAATCATTAGATATGATGAAACTGAGTTTAATGTCAAATTAATTAAATTTCAAGCAAAATGGGAATTGTTTACTTTATCAGTGTATAATAAAACTTCCAAATGGTCACCCTACCTAGTATGATGACATACCACCAAAAACATACCACCATCAATTCGAAAACCTTGCGCCTGCATCGACAAAAAAGCAAAAAACCCGCGACAAGTGTATGTTTGTTTTGTTTTGGTTCTGCTTCGTCGTCCCGTTCGTTTGTTTTCCACCCACCCACAGAGCGCCGCAATAGTGCAGAAATCAAGATCGATCTTCTTCCGACGCCGCCGTCGTTCCGATTTCCGATCATCTCAAGTGTCAAGTGTGTGTGTCTGTGAATCCGCCGTGTCACGAAAAGAGTGAAAGGACAGAAAGAAAAACACTTATCAGTTCGTGATAAGCATTAGCAGTCGTCGCGGAATTTCGTTCGTTCATAATTCGATCGGTGCGAGAGGAAAAATCAATTTTTGTTGTGTTTTGATGTTATGCTAATCTCATTCGGTGCTTCTCCGTTTCGTTCAGTTCCGGAATTCAGTCATCAATTTAGGTAAGAGAAACGAAATAGTTATTGGTGTTTAATTTTTTAGATTAGGCTTATATTACTGTTCAGTTCTAATAAAGTCACTTTTCTCACACTGACAAACAAGGTATTTTTTTATCTCCATCGTAGGCTGTATCTGATTTCAATTAGGCGCTGAGGAGCGGCAACAAGGTCACTTCTGGTCCTTTGGACGGTTTTGTTTTTCACGGTTAAGACTAACATAATATTACATATTTGCTTCGCATTTCGTTGAGTAGTGTATAGAGCAATCCTATCGGGATCAGGCCGGCACTCTGCCGGCGGCCGATTTGTCCCTGTTGCCGATCCGGTGCTTCTTTTTGTGCTTCCTAACAATTTTGACGTTCTTTTCAGATTCCGTCTCGGAGCAGAGTGTGGTCAGCTGTATATCGATTGTGGTCGTCGTGGGCAGTTTGGTCGGTGAAGTGGAAGAAGATTGGTTGTTGTTGTTGTTGTTGCTGGGTGCATTGGACGGTGTCCTGACGGCTCGCAAGTGTCCTTGTGCGGTTTTCCGTTGCTTCGAGTGCAGAGGTTGAGCGGCCGTTACGACTATTCCGCCGGTTTTGAACTTATTGCCGCCACCGGTGTGGATTGGTGTTTTAAGCGATTGACTGGAAACGAGCAGTTGGGTTTGCGATCCGGATACCGGACCTAGCAGATTGCTGGTGCTTGTGGCCTTCCGGGGAGAACCGGACGACGAGAGAAGACTAGCTGCTGCGGCGACTGCCATCCGACGGGAGTGACCGGAACGTGCACTGCGCGACAGGTGAGTAATGATTTCCGCTTTCTCTACGATTTTGTTCAGGGTCGATCTGAGGAGGGTAGGGTAAATGGATATGATTTAGGGTTTAGAATTATAAATCCTATCTGTACCTGGTTTTCCTCCGAACTTTGGCAATGCCACTGCCTTCGGAACTATCGCTATGCTTCTTGTCGGAGGAGGCTTTCTGCTTTCCGCCGCTGTACTGATCTGCGAGGGACAGCTTCACCCGGGTGGCAGCGCTGCTTACTGCCGAACGATTCTCCTTATCCTTGGCGGCCAGCCGGGACATGCTCTTGTGGTGTTTCTCCTTGAGGCTTCGCTTTTCGTCCTTCCAGGCGGCCAGCTTCTGCGAACAGGCACTGTTTGGATGGGAAATGAATTATTAGTTTTTTCGTGGGAAATCATCGGGATTGCAAAACTTACGTCAGCAGGGCTTCGTTGTCGAAGTGGGTGGATTTGACCAGAACTGGCGGGACACCCCAGGATAGGGGACGGGAGTTGATGGTCGCCGCTTCGTTGACGTACCCGTCCGAGTGCGTTCCGGTCCAGATGGACCGCTTGAACGACAGATGGGCAAAGATGTGGTCCGGGCTCATCGGTTTCATCATTTCCGCTCGGTTTCTAGGGGTTTGGGGATATTGAAAAATTATTGATTTTATGGTGGATGGTGTTCCTCGGCGCCGGGAATTTCAATTGTCACCCCTATTCTGTATTTCGTTTCGAACGATATTCTCATACAAAAAAAAATTTTTTTGTATGAGAATTTCGTTCGAAACGAAATACAGAATAGGGGTGTGTATCTAGAAGATGTTTCAGTCTACCGTGGAAGTGAGAAATAATTCTGGAAAGTCGGGCTTAAGACAGGTGGTTCATGTCTTCAGTTGTTCACTAGAATTGTGGGTACCTCAATCTTGGTAGATATTTTGCCTAAGAATTCATTCGCTAGGTGGTGCTACTGCATAGAGAAAAGTTCGCATTGGACATTTCCGCTGAATCTGGTTCTAATGATCCAGTCAAAATAGATTCTGTTTTTTGGAAAAGTTGTTCACTTTTGTGAGAAGTTAGCCAAATTTCTCTAAAGTTCGCTTATTTTCAACAATGTTGTTCTACGAAGTTCACTGAGCATCTACAAAGTCTAGCATTTGCAAAGTTAGCTGAATGTCTATAAAATTTGTTGCACTTCTAGAAAGTTTCCTAACTTTCTACACAGTTCAATGAATGTCTGCGAAGTTTTCGAAAGTTCTACGATGTTTCTTGAAGATCTATGTCCCTTGAAATCCTAAAGCATTTCTTTGACTGAAGTCGTGGAAAAATTTTCCTAAAGTTCTAGAAAGAAATTCCTTAAAGTTATCTGAAGAATTTCTTTAAAGTCTTCTCAAGTTCCCGGAAGAACTTCCCTGGAGTTGTGGGAAGTAGTTCCCTGAACTTCTAGGAAGGACTTTTGTGAGATTTTGGCAAGAACTTCCCTAAAGAAGTTCTGGGAAGAACTTCCCTAGAGTTCTGGGAAAAATTTCCAAAATTCTGGGAAGAACTTTTCTTCAGTTCAGGGAAACACTTGCCTCAAGCTGTAGATAGAACTTTTCTAGAGTTCTAGGAAGAATTTTCACGAAGTATATTTCAGGATATTTTTTGAAGTCTTCAGGATGATCAGGTTGATTTGGATCTTGATTGGTTCAGGATGATTCAGTTAATTCAGGTTTTATTTTTAAGTTCTGGATAGAACTTCTCTTATGTTTTGGGAAGAATATCTCTAAAGTTTTAGACTAAACTTATCTGGAATTCTGGGAAAAACTTTTCTGTATTTCTGAGAAGGATTTTTCTGAAGTTTTGGGAAGAAGTTCCTTGAAGTTTTGAGTAAAACTTCCTTCAAGTTCTGGGAAGGTTTTACTGGAGTTCTGGGAAGAACTTTTCGGAAGTTCTGAGGAAACCTTTTCTGAAGTTCTAGAAAGAACTTTCCTATAGGTCTGGATAGAACTTTCCTGAAGTTCTGGGAAGAACTTCCCTGAAGATATGAAAAGATTTTTTCTTGAGTTCTGGAAAAAAGCTTCCCTAAAGATCTTGAAAGAACTTTCTTATAATTTTGAAAAGAACTTCCCTAAAGTTCATGGAAGAACATCCCTGAAGTTTTTGGACGAACTTTACTGAAGCACTGGAAAGAGCTTCCCTGGAGTTCTGGGAAGAGATTTTCTTAAGTTCCAAGAAGAATCTTGCTGAAGTTTTAGGCAACATGTCCAAAGTTCGAAGATGAACTTATTTGAAGTTTTGGGAAGAACCTTCTTGAAATTCTGGAAAGAACATCCCTAAAGTTCTATGAAGAACTTCCCTAGAGTTCGGAGATTTTTTTTCCAAAACTCTGGGAAGAACTTCCCTTAAGTTCTGGAAAAAAAACTTGCCTGAAGTTGTAGATAGAACGTTTTTAGAGTTCTGGGAAGAATTTTCCCGAAGTTTATTTCAGGATATTTTTTTGAAGTCTTCAGGTTGATCAGGTTTTATTCTAAAGTTCTGGATAGAACTTCCCTCATGTTTTGGGAAGAACATCTCTAAAGTTTTGGACTAAACTTCGCTGGAGTTCTGGGAAAAACTTTTCTGTTTTTCTGAAAATGATTTTTCTGAAGTTTTGGGAAAAACTTTCTTCATGTTCTGGGAAGATTTTACTGGAGTTCTGGGAAGAACTGTTCGGAAGTTCTGAGAAAACCTTTTCTGAAGTTCTAGAAAGAACTTCTCTATAGGTCTGGATAGAACTTCCCTGAAGTTCTGGGAAGAACTTCCTTAAAGATATGGGAAGATTTTTTCTTAAGTTCTGGAAAGAGCTTCCCTAAAGCTCTTGGAAGAACTTCCCTATAGTTCTAGAAAGAACGCCCCTAAAGTTCATGGAAAAACATCCCTGAAGTTTTTGGACGAACTTTACTGAAGCACTGGGAAAAGCTACCCTGGAGTTCTGGGAAGAGCTTTTCTTAAGTTCCAAGAATAATTTTTCTGAAGTTTTAGGCAACATGTCCAAAGTTCGAAGATGAACTTATTTGAAGCTTTGGGAAGAACTTCCTTAAAATTCTGGAAAGAACATTCCTAAAATTCTATGAAGAACTTCGCTGGAGTTCTGGGCAAAACTTTTCCAAAATTCTGGGAAGAACTTCCCTTCAGTTCTGGGAAAAACTTGTCTCAAGTTGTAGTTAGAACTTTTTCAGAGTTCTGAGAAGAATTTTCTTTTTTAAATATTCAGGTTGATCAGGTTTTATTCTGAAGTTCTAGATAGAACTTCCCTCAAGTTTTGGGAAGAACATCTCTAAAGTTCTGGATAAAACTTCCCTGGAGTTCTGGGACAAACTTTTCTGTGAGAAGGATTTTTCTGAAGTTTTGGAAAGAACATCCTTAAAGCTTTGGGAAAAACTTCTTTGAAGTTTTGGGAAGAGCTTTCCTGAAGTTTTGGAAAGAACTTCCTTGAAATTCTGGGATGAACATCCCTAAAGTTCTATGAAGAACTTCCCTAGAGTTCTGGGAAAAACTTCCAAAATTCTGGGAAGAACTTCCCTTCAGTTCTGGGTGAAACTTGCCTGAAGTTGTAGATAGAACTTTTCTAGAGTTCTGGGAAGAATTTTCCCGAATTTTATTCTAGGATATTTTTTCAAGTCTTCAGGTTGATTAGGTTTTATTCTGAAGTTCTAGATAGAACTTCCCTCATGTTTTGGGAAGAACTTTCCTGAAGTTTTATGAAGAACATCCTTACTTCTTTGGAGTTTTGGGAAGAGCTCTTCTGAAGTTTTGGGAAGAACTTCGTCGAAATTCTGGGAATCCCTAAAGTTCTGGGAAGAACTTCCCTGGAGTCCTGGGCAAAACTTTTCCAAAATTCTGGGAGAAACTTGTCTCAAGTTGTAGATAGAACTTTTCTAGAGTTCTGGGAAGAATTTTCCCGAAGTTTATTGCAACGGTTAAAGTATCAAAATGGAGAGCAATAAATTTTTCCTGTGTCATCACATTGAAAACAAATTCTGCTATCAGTGGAAGCAAACTCAGTTTGATGCACATTTCAATTACACTACAATCATTTGAAAAATATTCCGCGAACAAATGTGCTATTCTAATTTAATGTAACCGTGCAACCATGAACTAATTTCCTTGGGTTCTGGGTTATCGTTAGAGTGAATTTATGACTGAGAAATCCGTTAAAAGAAGCAATTCCTTGCAGTTCTAGCCGTCATCATCAATAACTTAATCATGAAAATGCAGAACTTTAGGAATGTTTATAAATCTTTGAGGGCAAGTTCTGAGAACTTCATGTAAATTTCGTAGCCTAAGATGAAGATCAAAGAATTTTATGACGGGTCCATTAACTTCCAACCAATTTCAGGTACTTTACCAGAACTTCAAGAAACTCCAGAAAAATTCAGGTAACTTTAAAGATCTTCAGGAACGGTCAGAGAGCTTCGGGAAGGTTCTGAGAGCTTCAAAGCAGTTTGCAAATTTGCGAACTTTAGGATATTTAGTTCCTAAAACCAATGTTGCAAATATTCGCATCAATGACAACTCACTACCAGTATTTGAGAGATACAACTCACAATGTTCAGTTTCCTGCCAGGCTCTCACTACGAATAGGACAGAGGCAATAACAAAAATATTCCGACTCAACTCGAAGGGAGAACAGACAAATGCTGAGAATGTGTTCATCTAACCAGACTCTCTCTCTCTCTCTCTCTCAGTCATTGAGCTTAGTCGTTCTGATTCACCATGAATCTAACTCGAGGTCTGAGTCAGAGTGTGTTGATAGAGACAAATTGAGTCAGAGTTAGTCTGCCTGTTCGTTGAAGCAGTTGGTGAAAAAGCGGGGTAAAGTAATTTTTAAAGGGGGAGTCTTGCCAGAAAAAAAACGCTCTTTCCCTCTCTTTATCGTGTCTCCGTATCCGTACATAATAACCAGTAAAATCTTGCTCAACCATTGACCCAGTCAATCACTGATTCAAGCCACCTGAAACTCGAGCGGCACTCACTCAGTGCCCGAGTTTCCTCGGTATCGGCTTGGATTTGTGCATTTCATAGAATGAACGGATAAAGGCGTAAACGTAAAGGACACTCTTTCGCTCTTCTCTTGAAGCGGTAGGTGACTGATGAACAGATACAGTTTTGGTTTGTAGTTCTCCCGTGCAGAGTATCGTCGGTTTCAAATCGCGGCTTCGCTCATCAATCAGCAACATTGCCTAAAACTTCAGGAAAGGCTTCTTCAGAAAAATAGCCTAACAAAGTCCAAACAAACTACAAAGAAGTATGGGAATTTCAAGGGAATTCCAGGAATTTAAAGGAAGCTCCGAAAACTTCAGGGTAGTTCTGAGAACGTCCAGAACTACGGGGAATCGTTAAAGTCCTTTATGTTAGGTTGCAATAGGTGTTCAGCTTTAGGGCAGCTCCATTAAATTCAGCAAAATTGCAGGAGTTTTGGAGAAGCTTCCAAAACGTCATATGAATTTAATGATCTTAACGGCCGTTACGTGAATTTTAGGGCAGTTCTGAGAACTTCAGTGCAGGGCCGTAAATATTAAGAAAATTACGGGAATTTCAGCGAACTCCCGAGAGCTCCAGGTAAATTTCGAAAAATAGCAAGAACCTAGATCATCAGAGAAGTTTAGAGAACT